ATGAAGAAGCAGCTTATATTTGTTTGGTTCACATTCTCTTATTCACACTCTGCTTCTGCTGGGTGTGGCCAATGCGTCTGCCGCGAGTCTGCAGTGTGTGGGTCTAGGGAAGGGGAGCGAGCTAAAGGAGCGTGTTGGTGTGAGAAGTGTTGTGGATGTAGATGACAGATGACAGATGAAGAAAAAAGGTAAAATTTGACAAAACACCGCTAAGGTGCAGCAGTAGTACTGTGTGCCAGGTAGAAAAGTTGCGACGCGTAAGAAGCGTCTCACACGTCCCTTCTCGTTTTTACTAATTTTAATAAAAAACTAAGTTTAATTAATTGAATTTGCATGCATTTTAAATATATTTTGGTTTCTTTCAATTGATCGTTTGTATACAAAAATTGCCTCAAATATTTGTAAGAATTTTTTCCACACACTTTTACTTGCTGCTTAGTGGACGTTTCGTTGAATAAAAACCATAAAAATATGCAAAAATACTACGGACTACTATTACTTTAGCAAACTTTAACATTCCACTAGAGGCATTACATTTTGTTCACTGAAGTTTATTGCGGTACCAAATATTGCCGTTTTTTTGTGGATCATCAAACGAATGGATTGTCGGGTAGAGTGGATGGCAGAGCTGAATGGTGGGAAATTATAGCTGAATAAACAAAATTGATCAAAAAAGTATGCTCAAAGTTGTCATGTGTCCGGGGGTGGGAAATTAATTTTTGTGTTTCTTGCTTCTATGTTGCATTCGTGCAAAGGCCATGCTCAGCACGTGAGTAGCGGTTCTTCAATATGCATTTACATACCTCTCAGAGAGCTGCACAGCGGGAGAGTAAGCCAGAGACAGAGAGAGAGAGAGAAAGAGAGCTTTCTTTGGCACGTTTGCTCTTTGGGTTTGTGGTGACGTTTTTATGCTGCTCTGCCGCTGCAGCAGTTACCGTTGCGCTCTGCCTCTGTGCCGACTGCGCTGCCTGAGATATTTTCCTATGGACTGTTTGTACGTACAAATTCTTATTAATTTTCTGTCTTCTTCTTTTGTTTCATTGAGCCGCAGCTTTTGGCATTTATTATACATAAATTGATGTAATTTAATACTCTAGTCGGCTTTAGCTAATTGCCCATGGCCCTGCCCTTACCTTTCCTCACCTTTACGCAGCTTATTTGAGAGAACAAAAGGCAACAGCGAAAATGAACATTTGTTGCTTTCTGTGAGTGGCTGGCTGCGTGTGCTAAATTGCCGCCGCGTGCTGCCTCAATGGTCGTCGCTGGATGTCTCGCGGTGGAAGGAAATGACTTAATAACCAATCAACTTTTGTTTTATTTATTTGCAAATAAAGCGTTAAATCAGCATAACAATGGCGCAGAATGCCAGCACCAGTTATACCCGTTATACACAATTCTGTCTGGACACACACACACACACACAATGCAACGGGACTGCTTGGCGTTTAACGCTCCGTCGACTTCTTTGCGGTAATTGAAGTTTTTGAATAGTAAATAACATCAGTCCAGAACCTCCCTGCCTCCCCACTGGCACATTGTTTGGCCTCGTGGTATAAGCCAGGAGTGTACCTAGGAGTAGGTGTCGAGGGGCAGGCCAAAGCAACGACACAAAAAATAAAACACAAGTGGAATCTAGGGTACATTTTTGTTGCCAGTCTTGCACTGACCCCGTGAAAATATTTGCACAACTGTCGAGGGTTGGGCTGGTGGCGTCCTGCCCGACGCTGATTGTTTGCGGCTCACGTAGTCGAACCGCAATAAATATTGATGAGCACACAAACACAACATTAAAACATTGTGCGTAAAGTGTACGAGCTTCTATGGACCGAGCTCACACACTCAGGACTCACCTTTTTGCCTCTTTTCTTGTTTCCTCTCTAATTTGTCTCGCAACAGTTGGAGGCAGTAAAATTTAATAACAATAATAATGCTAGTCCAAGGAAATTCAAGAACTTCGCCTAAGGAGAGAGGGGGCGGGTGGGGTCGGGTCGGGTCCGTCGGGAATAACCCAAAAGGTTCGCAGAAAGCTTTACGGGAGTGACCAAACTTAGAGGAGCAGCAGGAGGAGAAGACCCAGAAGACTGCCAGGGTCGGTAAGAATCTATTAAATATTTACAGCCACAAAGAGGAAAATATCTCTTAAATAACACTCAAGCCAAATCATAGGCGCTGCTGCTGCGAGGTAGGATCATATAATTTGTGGACAACAACAAAAAGCGCCAGAAAAATAATTACCGAATGATAACACAATTTTGATACATTTTTAAAATAGTTTTTTGTATAATATGCTGATATTTTTGGATGTTAACTCATTAGTGGCATTTATGTCTAATAAAATAAGCTGCTAAACCTTTTAATTGGTTAAAGCAGGCCAAACGATTGCTTCTCTTTTCAACTGCTAGTGTCCAAAACTCTAAGACCCACCCGCGCTGGCTGGGTAATTGAATTGACCCAACAGGGACGGCGGAGTGGGTGCAAGTGTCTTTGGTGGGGGGGAAGTTTATTTAGTTAGCAATTTCTGTAATAGGTTTACACTCAATCTGCGATGCCGCATGGTCGTCTACCTGTGCACCTCGTAATATTTACACTGCACAACAAAATGTCACCTTTGGGGTGTGCTTTGCGGGAGAGAAGAAAAAAGGAGAAACTGTAGGATAAATATGAGGTCTTTCTATCCAAATCTATACCTGCGGCTGTTGCTCACCGTTGCGCCACAGAGTGGCTGTGTTCAAGGGGCACAAGGGGGCTTGGGGTTTGGATTGAATTTCGTGCCCAACTTCAATTGATAATTACTGAATTAATTGCTCGCGTTTGACCCAATTGAATCCCACAATCAATGTCCCTCGCACCCATCCACAGCCACAAATTGTGGGTTCATCTGCACTCCGCCCTGTCGCCCCGCCGCCCCTCCGCTCCCAAATTGCCTTTCGATCCACAGAGCGCACGTAGGAGTGGCCGAGGTGTATGCCGCTGCAATGCATTGCAATGCAACAGGAGCCGCCTAATTATGACTTAATTTTGCTTTGCCAGCAGTTGTCGTGGCAACATCATTTAGTATTCAGGAATCTTGATAGCTGTGCAGCAGCTTTGAAGGCATTTCTGGAACTTAAAGGCATTAAATATAAGAAATAAACTGCAGCATGCAAGAGCAGCAAAGAGCAACAATTGATTTAATTTTCATTCACATTCTGACTTCATTTCGGGCGAAAGCTTCCCTTTGATCCGCTGACATCTGAGCTGTGAGAAAAAGAGAAGAGCCTGAGCTAAAGCTCGAGGAGAGCAAGAGACACTTCGGCAATTACGACCTTCATTGCTCTCTTTCTACCTGCCGATCAGGCACTCACGTGTGTTTGTGCGTTTGTATGCAAAACGTTTCTTGCTTCTCTGCCGCTGCCGCTGTCGCTGTCGCTGCGGAAGTCGAGCAACTGCGCATTGACCACCACACGAAGACGTTCCGCTGCCGCTGCCGCTGCGGAAGTCGAGCAACTGTGCATTGACCACCACACGAAGACGTTTCTCTGCCGCTGCAATGCGTTCTCTGTGCATAGGTCGAAGCACACGAAGCTTTTACGCTGTGCGTGTGCCGACTGCACTGCCAGAGATCATTTCCAACAACACGAAATGCCACAAATAATGCAAACTTAGAGACTTGGATGTACATTTGAAATATCCAATCAGTAATCGCGATTCAGATTTAATGGAAGTAGTTCGAGTTGGTATATGGGTACATATTTTTGTGAAGGTATTTTCGCCTTATTGGTGTTGGTCTGTTACTGAGAACCGCCTTCTAATGGCAGAGTTTCATCATCTGTATCTGAGTCCTCGGAATCCCATACCATTTCCCACTCGTCTATGGGCATCCAATCAACGACGGTCGTGTTGCTGGATGGGTCATGGTATGCGCCTTCGGGTGGAGACTCGTGAGACTCAAAATCATCAATCATCATCAATTCCATCGGGTTGCCATTGCCAGTAGCCACGTTCTGCTCCTGGCCAGCTGCGCTGCAGGCTGCGCTGTCCCCACTGCATGCGGAGAGTAAAATAATTATACATTAATATTCATACATAGATGTAGACCTGGATACATACGCTTCTGTTGATTCGTTGACATGGGCCATGGCCAGCTCGATGTAGAAGCGATCGAGAAGGGAATCAAGCATAATTGCCTCCACATTCACACGGGAGGAGGATGGAGTGTTGTCGATGATTTCATATATTTCCGCCATTATCTCTTCAAATGTGCGAATCCTGAGGTCATTTGTATTTATTTGCTGCTGCTGCTGCTGCTGCTGCTGCAACAAACGAGAAACGACGACAGATTCGACAAATGCTAAACTTGGAGTTGGTTTCCCATTTTCCCCTTCACTTACGCTCGAAGTTGGTCCATCATCACTCAGGGGATCCTTCTCCATTTTCACTCACAGAAATCAAACGAATTCACGAACTCCAGCCAGAAATGTCTAGAATTTATGCCAGGGTTGCTGGAGACAAGCAAAGCCCAGCCAGTGTGCACAATTCCATCCGATCGATAGCTAATTAAGTAGCGCGAATCATTTATTAAAATCATTTATTTATGTAAGCTTATGTAGAGTATTTTCTTGGCTTTCTTTAATGCACGAAATCAACTTTCGTTTCATTTTTATTCATTTTGGAAACACAAATTGAAATGGCAGTGTTGCACAATCCCACAACAGTCCAGTGTGTTTTCCTTTCCCTTGCGGCAGTTGGCGGGCTGCAGCTTTTTGAATTTGAAACTACGCAGACTCAA